CCTAAAAAGGAATGGGGGGGATTGTTTTAAATTTTCCGGCCAAAAAAAAAATATTGTCCCCCCCCCCCCCCCCCCCCCCCCCCCCCCACACCTAAATTTAACCCGTTCTAGTAATAGTATCCTGGCAGGGCGCTATCCCTCGTACCGCGGCCGACACCCACCTCACGCCATCATCAAAAATCACAACTAACTTATCAACCTATCGCGGCAGCAAAAACACAACACACACTCAACGACAGACCACCCGCGCTCAAACCCACCTCATCCCGGTACCCCGGCAGGGTGCAATCCCTGTCCACATTCCAGTCCAGCTCCGGGTGCAGCTCCTCCCACTCTGAGCGGTCCCGAGGGAGAGCGGTCCCGTTCAGCCTCGTCACCAGCAAGTGCTTGTCGTCCGGCGATGATCGTGCCAACACCTCAACAAGACGAGACGAGACGAGACGAGACAACACAAACATAAAAAATAAAGTTGGATGCAAGTGCCGGTACACGATCTTGTTACGGATTATGTACCGATGGGCACGTGGGGAAAGTGTGAGACAGACAGACATCATTATTACTAGCAAGTGCGGTAGTAGCGGCCGCCGACGAAAAAGGCGAGAGAGCGAGAGGGGGGAAGGGAGAGATACACAACAGAAGAATCAGCCGACTCCCAAAACAGGAAAAAAGTGGTAGAAAATCGGTGGTACAAGGCCCCATGACTTCGGTGACAATACTACATGGAGATAACACGTAATGACTTGTGCTGTATTCAGAGAAAAACGCGCTCAGGTATGGTTGTGGCATGGTATGGTATGGTCTACGTTATGGTATACCTGTAGCCTGGGGAGGATGTCGTCGAGCTGTGCGGGAGTCATCTTGCGGAACGCCGGGCCCTCCAGAGCCACGCCGTACCCAGGGTTGAAGATGCCACACTCCGTCGCGATCGCCTGGTTGTCAAGTGCGTCCGTGTGCGTGTTTTATTATCAAGTAGAAATAACGTCGGTCTTACAACGGGATACAAAACGCCAACACACCTGCTAGTCAAAACTGCTCTTTCTACTTATGTATGTATTTGTGTGCGACGACACAAGACAATGAAACATGTGGCATCGTGGTAACAAAACACGGTTTTTCGCCTACCTCCGTACGTACTTACAAGCACCGAGCAAACAAATTACACAAAACACCGCAAAGAAAACACAATATTTAGCCGAACCGAAACATGTTTTAATAACACCATTGAAAAATAAATCGTCCAACAAAACGCAATGGATGCACAAATGACAGCTTCAAGATCCCGACATCGATTAATCCATCCAGGTTCGCCACAGGCCCCTCTCTGTCTCCACGTAGGGACCAAGACGCACACACAAAACAAAATACTACTCTTTCTCGAAACAATGCTTCTCCTCTGCGATAATCTCGGCAACGCGATGCTGAGACGGCGCAGACATACCTTAGCAGTGGCGATGTTGTCCCCAGTGACCATGCGCACCATGATGCCCGCTACCTGGCACTGCTCCACCGCGTACTTGACGTCCTCCCTAAGGGGGTCCTTGATTCCCTGTAGGATTAGTCAGGATATACACAACCATGGGAAAGGAAAAAAACATCAGAAACAATAGTCCGTGTCGGATTAGTCAGCAAGAAAAGAACCATGGGAACGACAAAAAGGGAACGACAAAAAGACAAAAGCTAAACAAAAACACACACGTGAGTACTGACATTTTTTCATTTGTCAGCCGGTTAGCGCGGTCGACGCTCATTCAGCAACACACACACAACAAAACAAGAGTCTATCCAGCGGGCATGAAAAAAAAACACACAATGTGTTGCAGCAGCGGTAGCAAGCGCGAATCAACAGTAAAACGCAATCAAATCAGTTCACCAAAACCAGTTCATCACACTTTCGTCTAGATAGGAAGACGCAATCCATCAATCGCCCACCCTCTCCTTTCCTCTCACCACGATCGCGTCCAGCACGAGGTCGTGCTCCAGGTCCTCCGGCGCGAGGTTCTCGGTCCTCGCCGAGATTTCGGTCGTGGGCATGTCCCTGTGAGCAAGCCCCACCGCGCGGAGGGCGTTGTCGCCGTAAGTCTCGATCAGCTCCACCAGGGCCTTGCGGTCCCGGGGGGTGATGGGCACGACCTCGCCTGCGGTGCCAGCAGCAGCAGTTTTGTGTCGGGTATGCTTAGGCCGGCGTCGCCCACACGAGTTCAGTAAAGACACCTCTCTTATTTGCCACGGTTTTCCAGTCTATTTCAAGCACCAGTATGACAACAACCGCAACAAACAGGTTGGGAAGCCAACGAACTGCCGCGGTTGAAGACGAAGATATCTGGCGGCGTGTAGATGCGGCACCCGCCTACTCCGATCACTGGCACCGTGAGTACGTACAGCGGCTGAACACTTTAATATAGATCGATGGCTGGCGCCTCATCGGAGTAGAGGTGCGGCGTTTGTAACATACGTGCACTATAATACGCCTGACTCGCCGGTTGGTGTGACCCGCACGGGTGCACCATCGTTCAACACTACCGCTAAACAAGGGTGCCTGCAACACCGACCAACCAAGACCCCACCTCCAAATACATACACACCATCCGCGACACCCGTACCCTTCCGCCACCACCAGCTGACGCAACAAAAAATACATCCGCAACAGCAGTACACACTACTCCCGAAAAACTACCTTTAGGTATGCACAAGCACCAAACGTTTCTCCACGTATCTCTCTAGATCTCTTACTCTTACCGCTCGCAGTGGTTTGGTGCGTGCAGCTTGCGAGCACAATCTCCGCCGCCCCCTTGGAGTACACCCGCTGCCCATCGGGGTCGCCCCCGACACCGCCGTGGATGAGCGCCGTCATGCGCTTCCGGTGGCTGGAGAAGGGGAACAGACGGTCCCCCCGCCCGGGGTTCATCCTCTGCACGCGCAGCTCCCAGTAGTTCTGCTCCAGCTTGCCCACCAGCGCAAGCAGCGCGCCCTCCGTCTGTCGCCGGCAAAACATGTACCAAAACAACACCAGACGTTGCACCAGGTTGGTTCAAGAGTGCTTTGCTTGTGCTAAATTGAGCATCATCTTGTATGTACCAGGTGTGTTTGGGGCGGGGGTGTTCGGTCGGCTGCCTCTCTATCGTTTAGTATTCCGTTCAATTTCACGTTGGTGAGCACGTCCTCGTATATCCTGCGCAAGTTCAGTGCTTAACACCACCGCCGTGACCGCACTTCAAAACGCACAAAACGCACTCCCTGACCACAACTCTCCAGCCGCCTTTCAGACAACCCCCCACCCCCTCCCCCCCGCCATCATCGAAAGACTACCGCGTACAAGTAGCCCCCTCCCAAACGCCGAAACACATCACATACAACCAATCAAACGACCAGCATGACGATCACCTTGTTGTTGCCCACAACCTATCACAACGACCAGCATGACGATCACCTTGTTGTTGCCCACAACCTATCACAACGACCAGCATGAAAAATCACCTTGTTGCCCACAACCGCCGTCGCCCCGTCGCCGTCCTTCGTGAGCCTGGCGGTGGTGTTCACCGAGATGCCCTCGCAGATGCTGTCCGCGGCGACGCCAGCCACGTCCGGGAAGCCGTCCGTCGAGTGCTCGCCGGCGAACCAGCCCTCCACGACGGTCATGCGGTTCTCGGTCAGCGTGCCGGTCTTGTCGGAGCATATGGTGGTGGCGTTGCCCATGGTCTCGCACGCCTGCGTACGTACCAGTGCGTACGTGAGAGGCGGGCACGGGGTGTGCGTGTATGGAGGGTTGGGGGGCAGGCGGAGGCTGACGTCGTCGTCGTGCAATGCTGTGTACAAGTACACTATCTTGTGGCGTGCCGAAAAAGGAGAAGAGTCTGGATGCATAAAATACTATGCTGGTGGGGGGGGGGGGGGGGGGGTACGGCATGCGGAGTACGGCAACGACGGGTGGAAAATCCATCTCCTCTTTCAAAAGCTCTGTCGTCGCTTGGATCTGTCGTCGCTTGGATCTTTCCCATCAAGACTATTCTTGTTTGCCTCTTTCTCTCCTCTCTCTATGTCTCTCTCCCTCTCTGCCCCCCCCGCCCCCTCCTCAACCCGCTGCCGTGCCCCTACCAGGCACCTCCTCCTCTTTGCCGCCAATGTCCTCCCCTTCACCATGCAGAGGGATTCTTCTGGGTAACCCCGTATCGGACCTCTTCCGCTGAGAAAAGCGAAAACCGTTGGGTAGGTCCACACTGCCAGATAGATACATAGCGACGGCAGCCAAAAACACAAACCGCACGCCTACAAACCAGGCCCAAAACCGAACCCAAGTACGGACGCAACAGCAACAGTTCCCCAACGGCGAACTAGGCTAACATTATGTAGCTGTTCACTTCTCAAATCGAGACACCCCGACAAGATGGCACTCACTCCGTAAAAAATAAATACATCCGAGGAAACGACCAACTCCATTGACCCTTTTGCCGCTCTGCGCCGAGCCCAACACCCGGAGCAAACAAACATATGGCAGCAAATCGCGATGGCTACGGGGGGAACGTCTTTTACGGTGCCAATTAAAACTCACCGCTAGAACGCGGATGAGGTTGTTGTCCCTGAGCATCTTGGAGGTGGAGTAGGCCAGCGAGATGGTGACCGCGAGGGGCAAGCCTTCGGGGACCGCCACGACGACGATGGTGACGCTCAGCACGAACGAGTGGAGGACGTTCTCGAACAGGGTGTCCACGCGCTCCCCCAGCTGAGCGCTCTCGACCACCTTTTTTTCCGCATGTAAACACGTCGTTGTTGTGAGTTTAGTGGCGACATACGGTATGCATAGCTGCGATTACTTGTGGTCCGAGACGATTTTCTCCGAACTCGAGCTGAGACTCAAGATTCTTTGCGTGGTGTGGAAAAAAAAAACACACCACCGAAGCGTTCAACCGCCTCGTATGTTGCTGTTGCTGTTGCTCTCGCTGACGACGAAACTTGCTGCCACTCGATATTCTTCGTGTGATGGTGCAGTGTGGAAACACACCGAAAAATTCAACCTCTCGCATGTTGGCGATGTTTGTTGCTCTTGTTGTTGAGTGATGGAACTTGTTGCGTGGTTTTCCGACACCCCCCGCCGTGGGTCATACGCCCATCGAAAACTTTCGCACGCTCTACCGGAGCTTCTTCGCACTCTCTCTCTCACCCTGTGCGTTGTGAAGTAGACACACATGGTGGCCACGAACGTGGCGGCCGCGCATGCCATACCGACGTATCCAATCGTCGCCGCCATCGCGTCCAGCTTCTCCTGAAGGGGCGTGTCGCTCGGCTCGTCCTGCAGCTTAGCCTGTCACGCACAACAAGGCACACGGAGGGGTTCAACAAGAGCATAGCGACAGATGAAGGAAATAACCGACGGACAAAAGTAGCAGCCCCAGTTCAACAAGAAAAAAACGCAAGCTACAGCTGAACCGAGAACCGCACAACACATGTTGCGCTTCCTCTGTCGGGGAAGCGGACTGAGCAAAGGGGACTTGAGCAATTAACGAGTAATCTGCCCAACTAACGCATGGCGTCGCTTCATCTATCGGTTGAAATGTTACTCAAGCAAGACCCATACACACAACCTCAGTAGACACGTGCACTTCCCTCCCTCTCCAATGATACCGTTTCTGTCTTTCATCCGGAGACTACTTGTTGCCTATATATAGCTTTTTCCATGAACCCCTGCTTCTGGGTTCGAGATCATGGCTTTTAGTAGCGTTTTTCGTTATCATCTAGCCGCAATTATAAGGGAATATTTTCATCGGTCAGCCGGCTGAATAGCGCCGTTGAAGCTAGCCAACACATACACAAATAGAAAGCGTATTCGCGTTTCTCATCCCGCTGCAAGACTGAACTTTTTTTCATCTGCCAGCCGGCTAGCGCGGTCAAAGCTAGCCAAAACACACAAGCACACACAATCAACCGCGCTGAGACTGACGTCTTTTCATCGGTCAGCCGGTTAGCGCAGTCGATGCCAATAACAAAAGCACACACACACGAAACACACCTTGATCCTTCCCCAGCGGCTCTCCGCGCCGACAGCCACCACCATCATGCTCGCCCTCCCGGACGTGAGCGTGCACCCGGAGAGCAGGAAGGCGTCCTCGCCGGCCCCTACCTTCACCCCCTTCCGCACGTCCTCCGCCTCCCCCGTGAGCGACGACTCGTTCACCGTCACGTCGTCGCCCAGGGTGAGCACCCCGTCCGCCGGAATCTTGTCTCCGGCCTCCAGCAGGACCACGTCTCCGACGAGGAGCTCCCTGGTGGACATCTCTCGGATCTCGCCCGCGCGCACCACCTGATTTTTTTGTCACATACATAGAACAAAAAATTGTTTCGGGTTTTCTGTTTTTGTCGTGCCGCCGGGAATGGAAATGGTATTTCTTGCGGTTTACTACATGGCACGTGGCATGTACGATGTATTGCTTTCGTTGGGGAATCTGAACGGAAGACCATCTAGGGCTTTCGAGAATTGACCGTTTTTCTTGCCTCTGCAAAAACGAAGAAGAAAAAATTCCACGTTCATGCAACACTTCGGAGACAGACAGACAGACAGACAGACAGAGAGCCCAGCGTGGTAAGGACACAACCACAGCTTTTCGTGACCAGACAAAAAACCTGCGAGAGAGGAAACGATCCTTCCAAAACAGACGCCAAGAGCAAGCGCCTCTCTCTTCTCCCCTCCTTGCCTGCACTTTCACGTCGTCCTTCACCGCGTTGAGGGCCCTGAACTGCTTGTCCTTGGAGTAGTCGTTCGTCGCCGTCACGACGGCCACCACCAGCACCGCGCACAGGATCGCCACCCCTTCAATCCAGCCGTTCTTGGGGTCGCTGTAGAACCCGACCTACACGCACACACACGGCCCCCAGATTGTAAAAACCACCGCGCTCACAAATAGGTGTCATCTGTCCCAACTCAATTCAACACATTCCCCCCTTGGGACTGTTGTGGCTTTGTCTCCAACAGGTACAGTAGTCTTTTCTGAATATATTTTCTAACGAAGATAAGCGCGACGTACAGCAGATAGTGAAAGCGTTCCGCGCAAAAACAATTGAGAGTACCGAGACGCTTGGTTTAGGCGCGGGCCGGCAGCAGTGGAACCGATGCCACGTGATGACCCTTCGTTCCAGCGCCGCGCGCGGGTGGTAGTGGACCCACCGCGGGTTGCGTAAAGTTCGTGCGATTCCACAAGGGGAAAAAAAGAAAAAAAAACTCACCGCGAGAGAGACAACGGCAGACACGATCAAGATGATGAGCGTGGTGTCGTCGAAGCTGTCGATGAAGAGCTGGATCCACGTCTTCGGATCGGGGACCGGCATCTGTTGAGGTCGTTCGGTGGCGGGGGGGCGAAGACAGAAAGGAACAGACGTGAACATCACATGAAAGTATGACAACAGCTATGTAGGACAGCAAGAACACAACGATGACGAAAGAGGTATGTAGGCCCAACGCCGACGAAAACACGAAAAACTACATGCCATGGTATGTAGCAGGTATTTGTACTCCGTTCAATGATTTATGTCCTCCCCCGACGCATCTTCACTTTGTACAATGTAGTTTGAAGGAACAGCCAGATAATAGTTGAACCTCACCCTCGGCGGGAATGCCTTACAGTAGTTTCATTGGGCGACGATCTCATGAAGTGACGTGACTACAGCAGTACAATAATTTTACTTTTTTCTCACCCAGTTGTGGCCGAACTCCGTGGCCCTTTCCTCCAGGTTGTCCCCCTTGGGAAGCCCCTGCGTAACGTCGCTCCGAAGCATCTTCGCCAGCTTGTCCGCTCCTCCCAGATCATTCAGCTCTTGCTGCTCATTTTTTTGTTGGTTGTTTTGGTATTGAGTTTCGTTTCTAGAAAATACACTACCGTATGCAGAGGTTGCATCAAGACATCACACCCCCTGGATCGATTTTCAAAGCTCATTACTCCACGACGATGAACATGCCAAAATCAATGACAACACGTTTTCAGAAAGCTATCGACGAGACGGTTCCAACGTCGCCATACTTTTCCTGCGGAGTAATCGAGCTTTGAAAATCGGTCCCGGGGGTGTGGTATCTTTGAAACGTACGGTACCCGTTTCGTTTTCGTTTCGTTTCGTTTTGGAGACATGAGGGATCAAAGGCAGACAAGAGCGAAGACCGCCGACAAGGAAAAAAGTGACGAAAAACGACTGACGGTTGGTTGCACCGAAAGGGGCTCAGAACAAGCGCACCACGGCAGACGAAACGATGTTCACCCACCGCACACAAACTCTGTGTTCACAACCAATAGCTAGCGATTCAGAGGTTGCACACACAACTACCCTTGCCAGTCTCACTGCAGTGCAGGGTCTGCAGGACTGCTGTTGAGCAAATGAGAGCACGCGAGAGGGATCACGTGGGCAATCCGCTCTCAGGCATTGCCTTCGTGTCCGCGCTTGTGCGAAAGGACCGGGACGGAGTTCGGCGCTCGTGGCAAGCAGCTTGGCAAGCGGCTTTCTGCTACGGAGAAGAATCTTCCAAGAATATCTACGGGAGGGACCGCCTGTTGAAACAACAACACGCTGGATCGCAAACACTGCAGCAGTGGGGATACTACAGATAGTGTGTGTCTCTCTGCCATCCCATGCGTAGGGCAAGCCAACCGCGCCACATCTGTGTCTGTCTCTGGGTTGTGCACGCGGACGTGAAAAGCAAACAAGAAAGAGAGGGAGAGAGAAGCAGCGAAAAAAAAACAACCCTTCTCCCCCCCCTTTTGCCCAATCAGAGAGCGACTTCTGTCGTTCAAAAAAACAGCACATTTTACCTCTTGAAAAAACATCCAGACCCACTGGTACAGTACATGCAAGTACTGCTGTAGCTCCGAAGACTCCACACTTACCAGGTTTTGCTCGGTGAGCCCATCCTGGTTCATGTGCAAGATCTCCCTCGGAGATATGCCGTAGATCAGGACGGCGGAGTGGTGCGCGAGCACCGAAGGCTCTCGAACGAACTGCTTCCGCAGGCTGTGCTGCCGAGTCTGCCTCCGGCTAGCCATGATAGCGATAGCCCTTGGCCTCTTGGCCTCCGCTGTTCGCCGTGACGTCATGCAGCAAAGATTTATTCGGTCATAATAGAGCACGGGCGGCTGTGGGCCGTCACATGTTTACTTTAGCTTGGGCAATGTGTTGTTCCACGCTGTTGCGCGTTGGCAACATGCGGTCGGAGGTTTCGAGAGAAACAGCAGACGCTTTTCCTCCGGCCGCTTCTTGTGCGTCACACTAGTGCATCCCGGCCGTGAGTTGCGCCTCGAATCGAACGGCTAGATGTTGAGCACCTACACAGCGCAGCACAACCGGACTCTCGGCAACACACCCACGTACCCCTGGCAACAACATGACCCTGCACTATTACTATTGCATTGCTCTACGGCACTCGGCGCTCGAAAACAATGTGGCAGATGTGACCATTCCCGAGATCTTTCTTCGGACAGCCGGCGAAAACAGCGCCACCACGGGGGTCGTGCGGGGTAATGGCAACACACGTTCCCGGTTTGCATGCAGGCAGGCAAATTCAACGACACATCCTTGCACCGAGGACATTCGCCCAGCGGACATCTTCGGCTATCCTGACTACTGTGCTACACGTGCGGCTGCGTAGCAGCAGGCGGGATGTGCGATCGCTAAAAAGCTTGGCCATCCATGGGTGAAGTACTTTTTGGGACATCTCGCGGCTGTGAACTCACCCCGAAACGGTAAAATGGACGACGACCACCACCGGCAACGCTTCTCAAAAGCTCTCTCCGAACTCGACCTGTTAGAGGGGAGAAAGGGGACCTAGGAAGCAAGGCGGCAACGGCCTCAAACTTCTCCAGAGCCCAAGAGCTGCGGTAGTGCGCAGATGACGCAAAGCTTGTCGCGAACACGGCGGTACTCAGAGGCCCCGCGAACACGCAAGAAGAAAATGTGTTGAGGGTAGTGTTCATCGCCGCTATCCATTAGCCCCCTGCGTCAACTTGCCAAACTTGCCGAGTGTGGCGTTGGCCACCTGCCGTGGCAGCTGCACCACCTTCCCAGCTCGCTCGCTCTGCCTTCGGTGGCGACTTCCACATGTCGACGGCCAACAATGTGCTGTCTCTTGCTGGCAAGGTGAGTGGTGTCCCGCGCTCGTCATGGTCCCGAATAACGCATAGCACCCGGTATCGGTGTCGTTACGTTTGAACAACATGCAGCACTTGAGGATTATCAACAACGAAGTGTAGCTAGCGGCCTACGGCTTGACGTCTACGTACGTGCACGTGCTTTGACTGCAGTAGTACAGACATCAAATACAGCAGGCCGCCGTGATTTGCTTTTTGCATTGCGTACTTAGTTGCAAACGATATTCTGTCCGAATGCTACTGACTGTACTTGAAAGGAATACATTGCTGCCGTAGGTCTACACGCAGCCGACGAGCAAAGAAGACAAACTAGGGAGCCTGTTCACCCTCTTCTGTTGCCTACCCACAGGGGGGACATCACTACGCTTCGTGTATGTATTATGTTGCATGAGCATATCCTGGACGTTCATCTTCGGGTTGTTGTGAATTGTATTGTTTTTGTACAAAAGAAGGCCTTTCGCTCCTTTGTTGAACTGCTATAAATGACATGTCGAATTTATCCGCAACCACTGCTGTTGTATCCGGATCCATTGCCGACGAAGACTGCTGTTGTATCGAATAGCGGTGAGTAGACTTGTTGGTTTGATTGCGGGATCGCCCAACTTGGATCACCCCCATCTCCCCACGATTGACACAGCAAACGCAAGGATGATGACTGGCTTCTGGTTCATCCTTTTGTGCAACGTAGCCTGGGCGGACGAAAACCCGGCACATCGCTCCGTCCCGGTGTTGTGTAGCATAGTTATGCGAGGTCTACAAGTATGGTCAACGACTGCGGCATGCGTTTACATGAGTATGTACCCCCCCCCCCCACCTCCCCACGAAAACTCAGCTCTGCCTCGTGACGGGCGCATCCTCTGGTCTGGGGATGCACTTCGCCAGGACGCTCGCCAACCATGGAGCCAAGGTTTGTGGGATTCGTGCTTTGTATATATCATCACACACCGAACGGTCTTAGGCTGACACCATTTCTGCCGAGTCTCGAGACAAATCACATTGTGTTTCGTCGGTGTCTTGTCCTCGATAGGCACTCATTTTTATGAAGTTTGAAGCTTCGCTTAGGCTTAAGCTTTCTCAGTCGCTCTCTCCTCGTGCCGGCCTGCATCCTCCACCGCACCGCTACTTGACATTATTCCACCACTTACCCTCGAGCGCTGCATGCATGCTGCGTTTTTCCGCTTAATGTACGCCGGCCGCAAGCATACAGCATCATGTATACCCTTTCGTGTACGGAAAAACGACTGCGGTAGTAGCGACTGGACCCCGATGTCTCAGCTCCGGAAAAACCGACTACGGTAGTAGTGACTGGACCCCGATATCTCAGTTGCAGTCGTGTTTTCGCACTCCCGGGGTCTCCGGGTTTGCCCATTGTCAAGACCGTCCAGGAAGAAAACCACAAAGCGGTACAAAACGATTTCTTTGTTCGAGAGTTTTTGCAGAGCACGCACATGCGCAGACCGGATATGTCCCTCGAAGGACTTTGCGCGTCCTCGACTCTGTGTGTACGACTCTCAGCCAAGTATCTCTGTCTGGCAGGAGATAAAGAAGAAGGGGGATAATCATTAAAACACTTAACCCCAAAGATTAAGCGGGTAGGCTAATCTGGTGCTGCTGTGCCGCAGGTCTCCTCTATCACAACCAGCCGTAGCCGAGATCGTAGGTTCTATTTTGTTCGCCCTTTGATACACATGTCGCGTAGGGCAGAAGGTTCGTGATGTTTTTTTTAAAGATATGTCATGAAGACGCCTGGAGCGTTCCCCGGAACGTTTCGCACCCCGCGAAGGTGGCCGTCGCGGCTCGACGAGTGGACCGGCTCGACGCTCTGGTGGAAGAGCTCACGCTCGGGGGGGCGGCGGGCGTGTGCGCGGTGAGGATGGACGTACGCGACGAGACCAGCATCAAGGCCGGGGTCAAACAAGTAAGTTGGGGCTTGGGCTGGCTGGCTGGAACAAGCATGTGTGAGTGCCCGCGTGTATGGATGAGTGTTGGCTGTGTTTGAGTGGTGGTGGCAACGAAGATCTTATTTAGTTTTTTTCCTCACACGCGCGCACCCTCTCGTGGGACGAGCAGGTTGAACAGATTCTGGGGCCGATCGACGTGCTGGTCAACAATGCCGGGGTGGCCGTTCAAAGCCCCTCCCTCAAGCAGACCAGGAGGGAGTGGGAAAAGGTGCGCCAAAGCGGGGATCTGTGAGTGGCAGTGTATCGGCAGCAAGAAGTGCGCCCTTTCTACCGATGGCTCGTCTGGTGCTGGCCACGCTTGACCACATGCAGCCCCGACACGGCGCAAAGGCAGCTTTTCGCCGCGCATGATGATGTCCTCACCGTACTCCTAGCCGTACTCGGTAGGTGCTTCTGCTGCAGCCGATGACGCTGCGCCCTACCGTTCCGTGGGTGCGGTGCAGCAACAAGACAAACAATAACAGCAGCATAGCATTTTTGCAGCCGTTCGTAGGACCCTATCCTCCTGCCCAGCACTGTTCATGATGCCTCTTCTTCTCGTGCGCCCCACTCGCCAGCTTCTCGCCTGGCCAGTCAATACCGAACGTGCTCTTCTCCGTCAAAACTTTGTCGGGATGCCAGGGCCAAGGCTTTGGCCTTAAGAAAACTCTTGGTCATGCCCACTGCTAAGCCCCCCCCCCGACAGTTACACGCAGACAGGGTGCCCGGCTGTTGGTATTTTTGAATGACCTGATGCATGGTCAAAGACGTCATAGGACTGACTAAGACAAGCGACGAACGAGTAATCCCCCTCCCGGTCTCCTTGTCCGACACTTACCGCCAAGCAGGTGCTCGACACAAACCTGGTGGGCCCGTTCTTGGTGGCCCAGGCCGTGGCCCGCAGCATGGTGCGAGATAAAAGGAGCGGGAGCATCATCAACATATCGAGCGTGTCAAGCATGGTGCCCTCCTCGGGTGAGACGGAAAGGCACAAGGGGGGGGGGGGGTTGAGGGGTCAAGGTGTTGATCAGCGAAGCGAGTGCCCAAAGATATTTGGTGCAAGCATGCATCCCGTGTTGGCGTATGAACAACCTCACCGCGTGTTTTCTCGGAACCCCATAAAGAGTACCACGGTTTTCCCACATTTCTCCGCTCACAGATATTGGAGCAGGATGTGTAGCGTTCCACCTGCTGCTTCCTCCTTCCCCCTTTTAAGGAACGCAGCAGAGAAATACTGGCAGTGACAAGTACGTGACCGGGATATCTCGTAGCGTCGGAAACATCTTGAGAATTTGTTTTTCATCGATGATTGGCCAAGGGTCGATCTCTAGTAAAATAGCCCTTGGTTACCACGGTTCAGACCCAGATGAGCCGTGCTATGCAGGTATCTCCAGCCCGTTTTTGGGCTTGGGGACGGGGTCGAAGGCGTGTGTGGTGTGAAGATCCCGCGGGGTGCAAGCTACCGTCAACGAGCTGACGTGGTCTCGGCTGATTTTTTCTTTCGATGGGAGCGCACACCCTTCCTCCTCTCAGCCAAAACCGCCTCCATTCGTCTTTTTTTTTTGTGTGTGTTCTGCACACAGGGTTGGCTGCGTACTGCTCATCCAAGGCGGGGCTGACGCATCTTACTAAAGTGCTAGCGCTCGAGTGGGCGAGGCACGGCATTCGGGTCAACGCCGTGTGCCCAGGCTACTTCAAGACCGAGATGAACTCAGATTTTTTCGACACTCCCAACGTGAGGCCTGCCTGCCTTGCCTGCGTTCCTCATGACGGTCACGGCCACCACTAAGCTGTGCCGTTTGACTGCACGTTGGTTTTGGTTATGTTTTGTTCTTCGCTTTCACCTGCTCTCGCCTAGTTCAACACGTACTGAATTGCTTGACTTCCACGCACGGCTCTATCGGTCGTGCTTGGTTCCCTCCCTCCCTCCCCTCCATCCTGACGTTGCCCTCACGTGTGCACCACGCCGTGGACACGTTCGGGAAGAAGAGGCGACTAAGCTTTCACAAACACAACTGCTTTGCCGACTCCGCCTCGACCTTAACTCCAATCAATTCCAACCCACCCCCTTCCCGGCCTTATTCTCCGACCATATCTCGCGGCGATTGCGCTTGGCACACAAACCTTGCCGACGAGAAGCCCACGTGCCACATCCCGGCTCTGCTGGAATGCGAGGATGAGAGCCTAAAAGCCACTATACGAACATCCACAACCATGGGTTCATTCCCTCCCCTCCCCTCCCCCTTCCGCCCTTGCGATGCATCGCAACTCACTCCGTACGCGTACTACAGGGCGATCGGATAGTGAAGGCGATACCGATGCGTCGTTTGGGCGACCCTTCCGAGCTGGATGGTCTCCTGCTCATGCTGGCATCCGAGCGCGCGTCGAGCTACATGACGGGCAGTGTGCTGACCCTGGATGGTGGAATCATGCTTAGCCACTTGTGAACTCTTGCACTGTAAATACGGAAGCACCAGCGCCGGCGCCCACGGCAGCGAGGACCCGACCGATGTTTGTTGAGTATCCCGGTGATTTTTCGGCCTGCCCACCTGTGTCGACGAGGCGCGAGTGGCACACCTCACCTCGGGGACACTAGAACCAACGCTAACACCGTGTATTTGTCGGAAGGAGGTTCTAAGAAACGGTCCGGGAAGCCATTAGGGCCAGGTGCTGAGGAGACTTCATGGTCAGGGTGGCCGCTCTTGACAAATCAGAAAGTTGTCGTTTAGCTTTGTTTCGCTGGCTTCCCTGCATCGTCCCTGAGTTCTTGATCATCGAGCTTAGTTTCAGAAGATACTACCCGTGGTTACCGCTCCCGCACGCCACCATGTCTGTGTGAAACGGCTTTATAGTCAGATGTTTGTTGGGGTTCCTCGTCGTGTGCTATCTACCCAAAATCTCTGGGAGTGGGGGGGGGGACTCTGCTTGTGCTAGAGGAGCGTTAGAATAGCCAAGAATACAGGAAGGTGTCGTCCTTGAGTTGTTGTCCTCGATAATGCCGGTGGTGCGTGTGCGAAAAGTTCGATTCGTGGACCAAAAGGCCAGAATTAAATGTTCGTTCCGTCGAAATAATGATCTGTGCGTGTCCGTGTTGTGAAGCATTCGTAGCTGTCCAAAGGTAGGAGTGGCCTGTTTGAAGAGACAGCTTGAACTGGGTGCTGCTAGGTGTTCAGGAACTGCTTGTCGTGTGAAGATGTTGTATCCAACGTTGACGATTTCGCGTACGGAAGTGCATGTCGCCTTCGCCTTCTACGGCTCACCCAGTACGTACCACCACTCGCCTTTCGGCTAAGGAATTAGGGATGGCAATCATGGATGCCTCCATCTCGTCAGAGCACGATTCACGATTCTCTATCGCGCTCTTTTCTTGCCGCCGAATTTTTCGTGCCTTTCTTTTCTTCTCGTTTCGAAAACAAACATCCAACGCTGGAGTAACCTCTCCGTCCGGACGGGCTCTAACTTCCGCCACCAACTCCCCGATCATCATCGTCATCGCCATCAACACTGTCTCGTCTCCGTACGGCGAAGGCCAGGATCTTCCCCAACCCGGACTCCTTGTACCCCCACCCCCTGCCCACCCCTCCTCCGCCTACTACCGCGCGTTTCGCGGATATCGCCGAACCATCGTTCCCCCGTCTGCTGCCCTTCCGTGGCCCGGGCGCTATCAGGTGTCCAATACCGCCATCGGCAACATCCTCGGCCAGTTCCTCCCCGGTCCCATTTGCGGGCGAATCTGCGGCGGTTTTTCTCCCTCCACCCCGACCACGTCTAGCAGCGGTTTCGCTATGGGTTTGAGTGTCCAGGTGTATTTTTCTTCTCTCCAGAGGAAGGCTCCCTCTTTTCCACTCGGGGCCGGGCCACTTCCCACTCCTGCCGCCAGTCCCGCCTGCAGCAACAACAGCAGCTCCGCCTGCAACGTCGCCAGCAACTGTGGTTGCGCTACCACCACCAATGCGGCTAGCACAGCTGCGGCTTCCTTCGGCGTCGTCACCGGAGACCCGTGCTCTCAGGTCGTCCGCGCACGTCGGGTCCAAGGCCCGGACGTGGAAGCCGTTCAGGTTGAGCATCTCCAGGAAACCCTCGTGACGCCCTCCTCGCTGTTGAAAACAACACAAAGGGTCCGTGGGCGGGGATAACAGTCCGCAAGTCAGAAGAGACAGTGGCGGGACGGGATGTATTGTATTGGTCTGGGTGGCTCATATTTCGACCCACCCGAAAACGGAACACCTGATGAGAAAAGAATACCACCAACGGCATCACGGACGTGTACATGTGGCAACATCCTGGCGGACAGGCGGAGCACACGAAGACCAACTCCGCTGCTGGAGATAACGAACGATGGATGAAGCAGTCTCTCTACGCACGAGTTATGTACAACGGTACGCCATTCAGTGCTTCGAGGTACGGCCGCCTCACGACCCCTCTCTTGCCGACACACACGCCGTACCAAACCCTGCCGCCAACGCACCAACATTGTGGCCAGGTAGACGAGAGTGTTTTCCGAGCACAGGCGCCGGTCCGAGAGGGTGGAGAGCAGAGCCGGGAACGTCGGCTCGTTGTAAATCACGTCTGCGCCCTGTTGGGTTTCATTGTCACCGGTCGTCTGAGCATGATATGGCAGCATCGTGCGAGGGTTAACCGGACACCGTCGACAAAGTACCTGTGAGGCCTCGCGGTGTACGCCAGCAGCCATCGTACGCCAGAAAATCGACGAGAGCGCTCATTGCTTGAAATAAGGAGATGATCTCCGTCGGGCGAGTCTACATGCGGTGTTCATGCGCTTGACGGACTGCTCATCATCGATACCCGTTGTGCATCCACCGCGTTTCCCCGCGGGACACGTTCCCCATTCAATTAGCCCATATACGTACAGACACATAGCGCGCAACCTGCGCAGGACCTACCGGTTCCTCTTCCGCCATCTCACCACGATCAGATCAAACCCCTCCCACTCTGAACCCTCTCCATCCACAGCCGCTGCCGCTGCTGCCACTTCTCCCGCTTCGGCCGCATTGCCCCAGCAAAGCTCCTGGATCGTCGGTCTGCTGCAGGACTCCCTGTCAGCAGCATGGTCGTGATTCTTTCGGCCAAGAAGACCATTGCGATCGTTGTTGTGGTCGCCATCACCTTCGTCGTCGTTCAAGGTCGCGAAGGTGGCGTCCGTGTTGTGTCGAAGGATGGGCAGCGCCTCGGGCAGATCAGTCATTGTGACCTGGTCAACGGGTGGGAAGCAGTGTAGCCCGGGGGGGGGGGGGGGGCAGACACACGCGACAGGTGGGTGCTGACATTCGACGGGACATGGGAACACGCTTCCAAGACTTTGGGGGGGCATTTCGCCACTCAATTTTTGCTGCAGTGAGCTCGTAAACGCGACGTTTGATGTAGAGTTCGGCTAATTCCTTGCTGTGTACCGACAAGCGGACACCCGATTTGTCACGAGCGAGGTAGCGGACGAGGTGAGATGACACCCGGACCTGATTGCTTGACCTCCATTGGCGAGATAGAGCGTACTCGATCACGGTTCGTTGAGCGATTGTGCTGCCCGGCCTCGGATCTTTCGGGCATCTTACCTGGGCACCGAGTAGCGCAAGGGTAAGGCCAACCAACCCCGTTCCGGCACCGATCTCGAGCACCCGGCGGCCTCTGAGCCACCCAGGCGGGAAGCAGCGTTCATCCTGCGCATCATGCGTACAACAAAACATCACATCGCGACCCATGAATGAGGATCAAAAAGCTTGTGCCATTGGTTTAACTGTTGTATGTGAGCTAAACAGTCGGCCCCGCAACAAGGAAGGTAGCGCCCCCTTGCCCTCGTCAGCGTCTGGCACAAGCTGTACATGGTCGAGACTGCTAATATACTGCCGTTGTGTAGATGAACATGCTCCCGACCAATGGATGCGTTGCCGTTTCGTTGAACATCCAACAATCGAACTAATTTCTGTACAGACCTGGAAGAAGTGGTGCATCCAGATTGCCGCCTCCCACACGGTGTTGGAGAAATTGTTGACCTCCCATCGGTGCCCTTGGAGGTCTTGTGTCTGCACCACCTGCAGAGCAGCCGCGTCGCGAAGAGAGATGCGGTGTCTACAAATTTGAAAATCACGACGTGGAGGTCACTGCTTTGCCTGTGCCATGCCAGTTTTCAGCAGAAGGTTGCCGTCTCCCTCGAGAGCCAAACAGGTTAAAGCGGCATCTGTCTGCTGCTGTTGCACAGCAGTGTAGACTGTCACCTGCCACTCCTCTACAATACCCACAGGTACGAGTAGGTGCGTACAGCACAGCCGGTACACAAGCAACCAAGCGTGCATATTTACAGCAGAAGAAACAACAAACGATGCTCAAGGTCTTCTATTGCGTACCGCATCACACAATCGACACACAGCACAACAGCAGCACGAGTAAACACTCAAAAGTAGCGTCAGCAGGCACGCGGGTCTTGCGACAACACCAGCTTGAAAACGCAACCTTCTCACCGATCCAACGCCGATGATGGCAAAGCGTAGCTCCGGTTGGCTCTCCCGCTCCCATATCTCGCTGAACAGATCGTCCAGACTGTCACTACTTCCCTCGCCATCATCCTCCGGTTCGGTGTCATGGTTGGTCATCGGCATGGACCACAGCTGTGCCAGCCCAGGCTACGTTGCTGTACCAAAAGCTCCCTCTCTCTCGGGTCTCTGTGTCTCTGCATGTCGCCGAAACAGCGCTGACAGCTGATTGGTCAAGCTATTTACAGTCCTTCATCCCCGTTTTCCCTGACCCGAAAGCTTCGGTCGGGCGTCGGGCATCAACACGTTTTGCAGCCTCTCCGCCAAACCGTCGTACTTGGTTGGTTGCAGGGTGCCACGGCAGGCCGCACACCACTACGATGGGGGGAATGCGGGGATCGAGCCATAAGAGGGTGCCGGTGGCGTTGAAGCTCCCGCAGCTGCAGGTCAGTGACCGAGATTTTCGTCCCTGATGACAAGCCAGTCACCAGTCATGCCTCTCTCGCCCTACTCTCTATTGAAGGTGTCGATGCGTACACCTCCGTATATACGAGGAGCACGCCACCCGTGAAGAAAGCTCGCACCAAGGCTACGCAGCAGCCCACGGCGGCAGTGGAGCGATGTTCTCTCCCCAGCTGTTGCCGTCGTGTCTATTCCATGTGTCGTCTAGTGGTCACCAACAATCGCCAATGTCGGAGAGAAATTGAGTTGGAAAAACGTGCGTGCTGCTGCCGCAGCAACCACCCAAAGAATGAAAGCACCAAAGGGGATTTCGTGCTCTGGCGGCTGTACGCCTAGGTAGTCGAGGCTGATGCACGAGCCGAGCGTGGGGGCATGCACGTTTCGCTCACGCCATCAGTTGTTGTGTCGGAAATAAGTGTCGAAACAGGCAGCACACCCAACAGCCGACAGCTTTATCTACAATAGTCCATGTGCCCTCCGCTTGAGAGGAAACCCGCCGCACGTCCAACAGCAGGAACATGTTGGTAGCGGCGCACCTGTTCACTAGTCAAACGTGGCAAATGAATTGTCAAGACATGGCAGAAGAGTTGGCGGCAGCGTTGGAAAATACCGTGGACTAATCGTGAACTTTTTTCTGTGTGTGTTTTCATGTCCAGAACCTGGTCAAGCGGGACAAGGAAGGGTACAGAGATGAGTTCCGGCAGCAGCACCGGAACTACCTGTCCGAGCTGGAGATCTTCAAGCTGAAGGTTGGTGACATGTTTTTCTTGTTGGCATCGAGACAGCGCGCAGACCCGCAATTACCAAATGCCCAGACATCAATAAAGTGATATTTGAAACCTATCTAACCACTACAGCAACAACTACAGCAGGAAGCAAGGGGGCACTGCCATAGAGCCGCCCCTCCCTGCAAGTAGAGGTGCCAGTGCCATGTTTGCGCGAGGGCGGTGCTCGTGCGAAGCGGAGGTCAGTCGAACGGGAGACCGTCCCGTGGATACCTTGCACACACACGTCGCCACACTGCACTGCTCTGTCCACTCTGGTCGCCCGCGGCCAGTGCGTGCCGCCCATCCATTTTCCAAAATTCTGAGCCAGTCTTGCCTTCAAGACTCAACAATGGACCACGCCCCCACCCGCCCGCCCACCCGCTTTTGTATATGTCATGCCTGCTCCACCAGCCCTCCAAGGATAGCGACCGTTTCGCCGAGCTGGTGACGTTCATGAGCCACGTGGCCCCCTGCTACAAGAAGGAGACGAAGGAGTTCGGGCCTCAGCTCAAGGCGCTGCTGGAACAGCACGGCCCGGTTCTGGTGGGTAATATACTGCCTGTAGATTAAAGAATACTTTACAGGGGTTTTTGATCCATCCTGTGGTGTGCACGCATTTTTCCAGCGGTAGCCTTGACGACCTACGATTGGGGTTGAGGGTATCTGTCCTGTGGTGTGCGTTTTTTTGTGGTAGACCTGATTACCTCTAAGCAGGGTTTGAGATATCCGTCCTTTTCCCCGGCCTTGCCTCGTCTCTCTCGCACGCGCGCGCTATGTACGCGCAGCACCCCTCTATCCGGATGAAGCTGGTTCAGGCGCTGATCCTGCTGCGCAACCGCGGCGTGCTGGACCCCACGGAGCTGCTAAGCCTCTTCTTCGGCCTGTTTCACTGTCAGGCGAGAAAAAAACGCGAAACAAGTAAATCAGAATACTTACGAATCAGCTGAAACCCGAATCATCATCTAGTTTAACTATCAGACCAACACGGAGGTTCATATATACTCATCAGAAAACCACGATAATATAGACAAGAAGCACGGCGTTTGTATGTATGTCCAGAGTCGATAAAAGCCAAATGCCCTGTACCAACTCCCCATGTATTTTCTTGTGTTGCGGGTGGCCGACGGGGGTGGGTCTTGCCCATGTTGGTGGCGTTTGGAGACTGCTCGCCACAAACCTCAGTTTTTCAATTGGCGCAGCACCCCTAACGTCCCTTGTACGTCGTCAAGTAGGATTACCGTTGGGGCTAGCGTAGTGTCATATGACATATGGAACGGGTCGGTTGGACCTTGTGTCGCCACGACTTGAGGAAATGTCAGCTGCTCTTGTTCCTGGTCTACCTCCTACCCTCCTCTCACCCCCCCCCCCGTTCAACCGTTGTTCCCTTGCGCGATACAGGACAAGATGTTGCGTGTCATGCTGTACGACCACATCGTGAACGACATAAAGTCTATCAACGAGAAGGGCAGGAACCCGAAGGTGTGTGCATGTGTACCCTTTCCTGGTGTACGCTTTCCTGTCTACATTCGCCAAAGCGTGTAGGTTCGCGCCAACCGGCTGACCGATGAAGAAAGACTACAATAGTCTCACAGGCACAGAGAACAGAAACGTTTCCGTTGTTGCGTTCTGTTGTCGTTATCACCTGGCGGGTCCGCCCGTCCATGCGTCGGCCATGTGTATGCCTTTCGCTTTATACTCGTCGTCGGGAAGAAGACGAGCGCGCCTCGCCGCAGCAGCAACAAGTACCATTCAGCGCGATAGCACCGCTCTACCGCTTGCGTTTGTTGATGAAGCAGGTTTTTGTCTCATGTACGTGTCTGCTTTTTCTGTTCTGAAGAGAGGGACTGTTCGAATTCACGCATAAAAAATGAACATGTAGCCCCCCGCCTCGACGAGCCTCATCCGGTGGAAGCCCAGCGTCACAGGGATGCGAGGTCTGCCGCAACGACTTCGACGTGCGTGATCACGAGTATATGTTTTGTAGCCCTCCTTTTGCACCCATCCGCCCTCCTCCCCCCTCCCGTACGCACACCCCATGTTTATGGCGCGAACGTTACATGTACTGTAGCTCAACAAGACCATCCAGAACCTGGTGTTCACGATGCTCAAGGACGACAGCGAGATCGCCGCCAAGAAGTCTCTGGACATCATGGTTGTTCTCTACCGGAAGAGAGTATGGGTGGTGAGGAAGACAGAGAAAGGGAAAGAGAGAAACAGAGAGAGACGTTGAGAGCGAGACAGAGAGAGAGACCGAGAGGAGAGAGAGAGAGAGAGAGAGAGAGAGAGTAAGGGGGATGAGAGGCAGAACGAGAGAGGGGGAGAGAGGTTTTGAGCGAGGGAGGAGGGAGTGAGGGCGAGAGAGCAGGGTCCAGGAGCAGAAGGAAACTCGAGACAAGAGAGAGGTGCAGCGTTGAATATAGAGTTATGCTTTGAGTTCAATACAAGCCAAAGCGCAACAGCGCAGGGGGAACAACAAGAGAACCAAGGGATTGATGATGGACTTCATCTTGTGGACTGATTGCATATCCACCACCCCCGTACCCCCCCCCTCTTCTCTTTGTTTGTGCTTTTGTCTTTTGTGGGGACGCCTTTGCTCGTCGGCGGCACTCGTATTTGACAAAAGGACGCGCGTACAGTGAACGTCATTGCGACGGCTCTTCTCGCGGACACCCCCAAGCTTGCGTGCACGGCTCTGAACTTCTTCCTCAACATCGACACCATGATGGCGGACGACGACGACGAGGAGGGCAAGGCGGAGACGGCACAAGCACAGGTTTGTGTTCGGTGATATAGGTCGCTTCTTGTGGTTGTTGTTGTTGTTGCCAAAACAGGCGGTTCGGTTTGGGGTTTTTGGTCGTCGAAATAATGGACGGAGAGGGCCCAAACCCGGGTTCGTGTTTGGTTTTGTGTGTCCCTTGTTGTTGATGATGTTGCAACAATAGTCCCGGTTCTGTGTGGGAGTATGTACTGTACGATGTAAAGCCGGGAACGGGAGAGAGGCTTAAAGACAAGAACATGTCTGCAGCAGCAGTGAGTCCGTTTCATGCACGTGTTGTGATTTTCATGTCCAACAACGCAGAAGAGTGTACACTGAAAAGGACTGAAAAAAATGCTGCCGCTTGGGAGGCATATAATGAAAAGTCGTACAAGGTACCTGCCGTTACGGGTCGGAACGAGACGAAGGAAGCGAGCAGAAACGAAGGACGCGATACGCGATTGACGCAAGTGCCTCGGGGAAATTTGCCGTGGTGACCATGGCGTGCACAGGACGCAAACATGTGCTCGGTCGAAACGTTGTGCATTCTACAGAGAATAGACAGCAGTAGTGTGCAAGAAGCCTTGTCGAACCGTTCAGCCGCGCATTGACACCACACACGTGTGTTCCGGTGAGCTATATCGTTGGGCAACGAGGGAAGACTTTGGAACGGCCAGATCCACAGGGCTTCCTCGAGTAGACTCAGACGAAAGTCGTGCTTGTTACATAGAATTATGACGTAACTGATGTGCAACCATGTGTCGGACCACGAACCACAACGTAGTAGGTGCCTCTTGGTTAACTCCCTTCTCCCCTTACCTTCCGTCCACCCTTTCCACCAATCGGCCAATCGTATCCAGCAAACGTATTACTTCCCCCACGTTGTACTCCAACCGAGAACTGCTTCGAACCAAGTGCTCTGCTACAGCAGTACACACCGGCCTCTCCGGACTTATCCCTGATCTCCCCCCCCCCTTTTCGTCAATCGAAACCGGGGTGCCTTCTCACCGCCCGCCAAAAATAAAAAGGTGAACACGCACGAGCACTCGAAGAAGACCGCTAAGCGGGCGCGCAGCGTGCAGAAGCAGGTGAAGACGAACAAGAAGAAGAACAAGGCCGCCCTGTCGGACGAGTCCAACGGCGGCCTCTTCCCGGCGATCAACCTGCTGCACGACCCCCAGGGCACGGTGGAGAAGGTCTTCCGCCGCCTCCGCCAGTCCAAGCAGCGCTTCGAGGTGTGTGCGCGAAACTCCTGTATATTTTTTTTTGCGAAGAAGTTTTTTTTTTTTGTGTGTGTGTGTGCCTTCGGCAATCAGGCTGTCTCGGCTGATTTTGTTTTTTGCGGGTTTCTATCGTTGTCAGGCGGGTGTTGCTGCCTCCTTCTTTTTGTGGGTCGTCCTTGCTGGAAGACATGAGGCTGGTCAATGCCATAACCCACAGATCACATGAACAACAGACGAAGCTCTCCCTCTACCCCCCCCCGGCCCTACCCTGCACCCACCAAAAGGTGAAGCTCCTGATGATGAACTTCATCTCGAGGGTGGTCGGGGCGCACCGTCTGCTCCTGCTGCCTTTCTACAGCCATCTCCAGCGGTACGTTGCCTCGCAGCAGCGAGAGGTGACGCACATCCTCGCCTACCTGGTGCAGGCCTGCCATGACCTCGTGCCCCCCGACGAGGTGAGGTTGTGATGTGTCGCTTTTTTTTTTTTTTTAATTCTGCGTGAACGTGGTGAGATCCGGGATGCACTTGTCGGTTGTTGTTGGCTGGTGTGTGTGTGTGTGTGTGTTTTTTTTTTGTTCCTGCACGAATGCGGTGAGATTCGGGAAGCGATATCGTACTGGTGTTGGTTTGTCACGTATTTTGTTTGACGTACTTGTGGTGAGACCGGGGAAGCAACATCTTCTGTGGGTTGTTGCTGTTGTTGAGCTTTTTTTGTTTTCTATGTAGATGTGGTGAAATCCTGGAAGCAATATCTAACTGACTGTTGGTTGTTGTTGAGCCCTTTTGTTTTCTACGTAAATGTGGTGAGATATTGGAAGCAATACCTTACTGGCTGGGGTGTATATTTTCTCTTAGCACTGATTGATACCGCGGCCTTCGACACACGCACACATATTTTCATGCGACACTTTTGTCTCTTCCGCGCGGTGACAGGTGATGCCGGTGATCAAGGCCGTGGCGTACAACTTCGTGACGGAGCGGTGTCCGGGGGAGGTGATGGCGTTGGGCATCAACTCCATCCGCGAGGTGGCGAGGAGGATACCAGCCCTCCTGGAGGAGGAGGGAATGGACGTGCTAGTCGTGGTGAGCGTCAGTGCACTGCTGCTGCTGCTGCTTTCGTTCGGTAGGGTGTTTCATGTATGTGAGGGATTGAAGTGCTTGTCGTGGTGAGAGTCAGTGCCCTGCTGCTGCTGCTGCTGATGCTGCTGCTTGGTGGTAATTTTTTTCCTGTAAGTAAGCGTTATTTGTTCTCTTCGTGGTCACCATTGGTGGCGGCGGGGTTGTGACGAGGGGCGACGGTAGGGAAACAGCTGTCCACAAGGTAAGAGATCTATGTAATAGAGCAACAAATACGCGATGTTTTATTCCGACCGACTGCCGTACTTACGTGGCTACGCTTACCCGCCTTTTTTGCAGGACCTGGCGGCGTACAGCAAGCACGCGGACAAGAGCGTGGTGGTAGCCGCGAGAGGCTTCATCAACTTCGTCCGCGAGACGTACCCGAGCCTGCTCAAGTCCAGGGACCGCGGCAGGGAGCACGACATCACGGCCAGGCCCGCCAAGTAAGGAAGATAACGCACAACACAACACAACACACCACACCGTACAACAACGCCACTAAAACAAAAATAAGCCCGTTGCGAATGTGTTAACCATGGTACGATCGCCCTTGTGCCCCTGTTCTATCGTCCGCTACCCCTGCTGTGGGTGTGTTCACAAAATTATTTTTTGTCGCCCCGACCGCGGTATACGACGTATACGACGCGGCAGAAACGGCGTCGAGTCGGTTCGTGCAATGCCTCGTCAGTTTCCGGAGTACGGCTAGGGGAGGAAGGGGGGGTGTACTCATAGTCGTGCATGCCGTAGTCGTTAGACCATTGACCTCGCATCCCTACAAAGCCGGGACGGAGCACGCCGGGTGCTCATCGGACCAGGCTCTCACATCACCAAGCGCGAAACGCCGTGAGGTATTCGGCGAGTCGCATGAAGGGTGCGCTGCATCCTGCTAAGGGTCTTCGGCATCTTGTGCTTACTTCCTTGCTTTCGGATGACAGCTGCGTATGACTTAGTTTATTTTCTGGTGCGTTCACTTCCAGAGACAGTTGGAGGGACGGGATAATTTACCACCTCTGCGTTGTTGCCAACATGATTCTGACTCTCGACGTTGCGGCTCCTCCACCATCCACAGATACGGGTCTCGCTCTGTGTCTGAGGGCGTCGATGGGGCTGACCTGCTTACCCTCCATGAGCAAGGGCTCATGCCTCTCGAGAAGGACGACGACGACGAAGGAGATGGGGAAGGGGGCGACGCAGATGAGGAGGAGGACCAGGAGGAGGTGCCGCAGTTGGTATCCATGCCGGAAGATGGCATGGAGGTGGAGGGGGTCGAAGAGGAGGAGGAGGAAGAAGAAGAGGAGGAGGAGGAAGAGGAGGAGGGGAGGCCGAGCAAGCGGGCGAGGGTGTCGGACAAGGGTGGCAAGGGTAAGAAGGGGGAGGAGGAAGGGCAAGGCCGGAAGAAGGGCGTCAATTTCACGAGCGAGACCAAGGTGGCGGATGGACCCGGCCCTAACGGTCCCGTCGACCCGGGACCGACAACGAAGGTACAACACTATGTGATGAGATAAGATAAGATAGATCACGGTGTAGCAGATTAGATACAGCTTGTGAGATGTATAACATGTGAGAGGCTGGATAACGCATGGTCGTTCCGCTTTCGCTGTTGTCTGGTCTTCGTGCCTCGAACGCTTGTGCTTTTTTTTTTGGTGCTGTATCGTTTTATCTCGGTGGTACTGCGAGGAGAAGAGGCAGCCTTACTATGTTTGCCCGTCGGGGCATGTTGTTTGCTCTACAACTGCTGTCTCGTGTGCTCTTGTGCTTGGAGTGTCTCTGTTCGTCGTCCCCCTCTCCTCCCTCCACCCTCAATGTTCCCCATCCCCGTCCCGTCCCACCGCACCCCTCTACAAGGACATTGCCGCAACCCCGCTACATGGCATGTCATGCCAAAAACAAAACCCCTTGTCTCACTCTCCAACGTTTTGCTCCACGCCGTCCCCGCCGGTATCGCTGTTCCGTACGCATCATCAATACCCGGTGGCATTCATCCTATGATGGTATGATGGCATATCCCCATGGTGTGGTACATGGCATGAAACAAGCAGGTACCGTTGCGACAACGCGTGGACAGCACGAGGATCTTGAGCGCGGAGGATTTCGAGAAGATCAAGAAGCTCAAGCACCAGGCTGCCACGGGTGAGAAGCAGCAGCAGCAGCAGCAGCAGCGGGCAGTAGGGGGCGGATACGTTCGTTGTTGTGGTCGTGCCGTCTGATGTTTTTCTCCTTGTTCTTGTCTTGCTGGAGTTTGTTACCACTTTTAATATTCAGGGGTGCGGCATGTGTACTACAGGGGTCGCGACGGACGGCTGCGTGTTTCGGGTTGTGTTTTCCGGCGGGAAAAAAGTGCTGTTTCACGGCTCTTGCCCATCTTCGCGAAGTTCCTCTTTTGCTCCATGCAATGTATACACACTTGGTCTTTACCTTTTCTTTCAAGGGGAAGGTTCTGGGCGTTCTCGACGGCTCCTTACTTCGGTACTGCTGCCCCCCCCCCCCTCACCAACTATCCCGTAACCCCTCCCCCCTCCTAATTTGGCGCCCCTGCTTTTTTCGTACGAAAAAACAGCCGCGAAGCAGAGGACGCACAAGCGCAAGCACAACATCGGCGGCAGCGACTCGGAGGACAGCGACGACGGGGGCGAAGAAGGGCAGAGCTTTTCCGTGGACCCGAGAGCGCTCGAGGGGTACCGGAAGCGTCGGCGAGCCACGCTGGAGGAGAGGTGGGGTGAACAACTGAACAATAATCAGACAGACCCAGAAAAGACTTGCGGAGGGATGCGGGGAGATTTCTGTTCGGGGCCAATGACCAAGAGTCAGCTGGAATTGATTTGCGGAGAGATGCGGGGAGAGTTATGTTGGGGGCATGCCGCAGTCTTTGTGCTGCTCTACCACCCTGAGTTGATGTTGCGTCATGGCTAGTGCCGTTGGACACTCGCAGTGCTTCTGCTGCTGCTGCTGTTGCTGCCATGTTTGACTCTTGCTGTTGTTCGTCTGGGTTTGTTGATTTTTTTCCGGCCGTTTTCCGCTCGTTTGTGTTCATATTGGTAAGCCTCAGCCGAGCGTGCTAAATCCTCTTGAGACACTTTCGTCATTTTGTTAAAGGTGGTGGTGGTGTCATGAAGTTTGGGATGGATGGTGCGTGACGACAGCGTTGGCATGAAAGAGCGATAAGCTTTTAGTCATTTTTTTCCGCTGGTCGTTTGTGTGTTTTGCGTTCTCCACCTATATTACATCCCCCCGTGTCCCCTCCTCAGGCTGGAAGGCGTCATTCGCGGAAGGGAGAAGTTCCAGGCGAACAGTCACGCAGGAGGGCTGACCAACGCCGAGAAGGAGCGTAAGAAGAACTACCTCATGATCCGCAAGGGAAAGGCCGTCAAGCACAAGACCAGGATGGGCGAGAAGCAGGTGGGTTGTACTAAAGTTGCTTGTAAACTACGAGTAATTTTAGGCGCGATTGTGCGGGGATGGTGCGCGGGGTAAAGTGCAGGAGAGAAATACAAATTGTTATCAAGTGGGAGAGAACGGCCAGAGACAAGACAGGGCGACAGGCAGTGACAGAAAATAGAGGGGGAGAGGAGGTGGAGGAGGAGGGGGAGGAGAGTGAGAGAGAGGCCCAATCTTTGACCCCATTGCGTGCTTTCCCGTGACAGACCAGAACCCGCTCCCGCTTTCGCTTCCGCTCAATTCCGCCTTCAATTCCGCAGGTGATGGCGCAGAAGAACAGAGGAGGAAAGGTTCAGATGTCGCGCAACAAGCAAAAAAAAAAACGGACGTAATGTGTGACCTTCATTCATCTCGTTCCCTTTTTCATTTTCATTGGCGTTCTTCACTTCCTTCTCTCTTTTTTTTTGGGGGGGGGGGTCCGGGGGGGAGGGGGGGTTGTTTACCAAGCAATGCTTTTTTCTTCGTTTCTGCTGCTTGTGGTGTCTCGAGGAAACGCTTCGTCGTGTAAGAAGAAAGGCGGGCGTCGCTTTCTTGGTACCAGGTGCGAGGTTGAATGAAGTCGCGCAGACCACGATCCTCTTGTGAAGAAAGCAAGGGGCATACTACGTTGTTGATGGTTCTTGCGCCAACAGCGCAATGTTGGCGGTATGGTTCTTCCCTCGGCACACTAGGGAAATACCCGTACAGGGGTGTTGAGTGTCTTAGAACACGACCATGGGTAGGTCTTGGGGGTGTGCATAGTGTAGTGGGGGACGTGAACTTGGTTTTATGGCGCTGGGAGCGTGCGCTGAAGAGGATGTTGCGTGATTGTAAAGAGACCTGACGTCCACCTGGACTACGAGCTCTTTCTTCTACGGCCTGTCCACGTGATACCTACGATGAAACACCATTTGGCGGGGGAGGTACGTGCGTGCGTGCTTGGATGCTTAGCCCTCCGCACGCCGGGAGACCATGCCGATCTTCTTGGGGGCGTAAGCAGTAAATTGGAGTATTCTTGTCGCCAGAACACGGCAAACGGCCAACAAAAAGCTCGCTGCGCATCACGTTCGTACAATGGAGCCGGTGTCGTTTTTTAATTATTTTGTCGCTGTGCTACACCTAAGTGCAGCGGACACACGATAAACGATTACCATGGCTATGCTTGACTCTCGATTTTGTTCCGCCGATGGGGATGAGCTCCCGGCGCACCCACAAACGGTCTCGACCCCTTGCTTTACATCCGTGGCATCGAAAGAGACCCCTACATAACAAGCCGCCAAAGTGGCTCGTCGTCAAATGAATGCAGCTACTGTTTTACGCTGGCTGTGTGCTCCACAGGACGGGAACGAGTGCGGGCAAGATCAAGGCGACTCCTGTACCTCTCGGCTACTTCGCGATCACCGAAAAATATTGAAAGGCGGTGTATCCTTCCCACCGCTCGTAACCCGGCCCGCCCCCCCGGCTGTCAGCATCGATCACTATGCTATTTTGCTTCATTTCGTCCGTGCATCATAAACGGACAAGGGCCCGAAGGAGCTGACATGTCTCCATGGGAGAAAAGCGTTTTTATCAGCGTAGGAACCGACCCAGTTCCCTCCAGAATTTGGGGTGATACAACAACAACAGCATCCATTCCTTGTACATGCAACCAACAACAGATAACGAGGAAACAAGGCGGCTTCAACCAGATCAGGCATGGTTTTTCTCTTCCATCAAAGCCACGCCCTTATCGATCTACCATACAAGGATCCACCCTCCCGCTATACACGCGAGAGGCTTATGCTTCGAAAATCGTCCCCAAGAAAGAGGTAGGCAGAGTCGCTACATCTACATAGTGTCAGTCGTCATTCTATTCTCCTTCTGCAGCGTGGTTCTGTGGTACAGAAGTAGCATACGACGTAAATAACTCCTGACAACTTTACGTCATACACACACACGTTGATTGCCGATCGGAGGCCCTGCTTGCCGTCTTGAAAAGTACGAAAGTACGAC